AATGCCTTTGTGTGGGTTCCCCTGTTTGGGATTCCCAGGGTACACATCAACACTGATGGGGTTCCAGGGCTGACTCTACCAGTCAGTTCAGGACTACATTAGAGAGAGTTCAACTCTCCAGCTGTGCATCTCTACAAAAGAGAAAACTTGGGTTTCCTTGCTAACAGAAAAACACCCAGGGTTTCCCCAGGTATGCTTCTGCTAGCAGGGAAAACTAGAGGTCCTCCATTTTCCAGAGGAGTGCCCTGAGTTGTCTTGCAGAATTGGGCCCTGACTACTCCCAGGATTAGCAGGGAACTGACCCTATGGGACAAGGGGAAATGTCTGTTCTGTTCAGTGACATCTGTTTATATCCTTAAAGCAGCATTGAGCATGATCTGAAAGAGATTAAGAGCAGTTTTAAATGAAAGTCATTTTCCCCCTTAGCTTTCCTGGGTATGTATCCCCATGAGCATGCCTGTGCAGTTGGTGGTGCCGCAGGCCTGTCTGCGGTGCCACAAATCACACATGCTGCACATAAAGGTCTTCACCGTGCTGCTAATTCACAGTGTGGTGGGCTTTTTTGACACAGGGGAATCCAGAAAAAAGCACCAGAAAAAAGTGAGGCAGTACATGTGGCAGCAGCATGTGTCACTTGAAACCAGAGCCTGGCCAGCCAAAGCATGCCAGGCAGGCTCCATTTGTCCAGAGTGCCACTGCTAGAGCCCCAGGATGCCTCCAGGACCCCAAATATGGTTTCTGGTGCATGCCGCAGCCTCTCCTACTCCATCCAGGGCAACTTGCCATGAGCCAGAGTGCACATGCAGGGGCGTTCCCTGTGACAACTAGCAGCGGCACAATGCTATTTGTCCCTGGGGAATGCACATTGCTACTCATGGGGATGCACCCCTTAATTTTATCCCTATATAGTTGTGCCATTCTTTTAGACCCCTCCTTATTAGGTGCTTTTGTTTCTACTTACGGTTTTCAGATTACTGAGAAGCTCCTGATGCAACATATTCTTACATATGCTTTAAAAAAAATAAATTCATCAAGATGTTTTGCCATTGTGTCTTTAATATAGTCCTTTTCAGAAACTGACAGATGTCCTTCACTTTATTCCTTAGATAATCCCCCGACTTTCCATAAGATCCTATTGGCCAAATTCCTGAGTTTGTGGAAGTCTGATTTTCTGTAGTCCATTATCTTTCCCCTGCTGTTCTCACTTCTTCATTTCCTTACAATAGGGAGCTCTATGTTTTCATAAAGACTTTTACCCAAATTACCTTCCATCTTTGAATTCTCAGACAGGTCCTCTCTACTAGTCATAAAATGAGTTCCACATAAAAGTTATCCTTCCAGGAAGGATAAATGCAAAATGCTGTTGGAGAACCCAGGAGTAAAACTACTGGTATGATTGCTTACATTGGGATGCATGGAGAAAATGCAGTGTGAATTTCGCATTCAGAGCACTTAATTGGGAAAAAGATAGGTGATTCTTCAGGCTTTGTACAAATGGCTATAATAAATGCTTCAACAGGTCACTGTATATTAGAGTTGCAGTTATAAAAGGTTAATACTGTATAAGTTGTTAAACAGTCCATCATGTCAATATATACATTACAAGTAACATGTGCTAATGTGCTTAGAATATTTATTCATACAAAATATTTACATCTGTAACATGCTCATAATATCTATCAATCATGTATTAAAACACAGGAAATTACATATAAATGGCACTTCTATACAAAGTGCAACCATATGATGTTTCCTTTTTGCCACTAAATTAATAGAAACATTTAAGCTTTCTGTCATAAGGTACAGAAACTTGTGAAACATTTCTGAGAACACCTGAAATTTCACAAAACTTTCTTGGCTTCAGGAATGACACTGCTGTTTATGTTCATCTTTTTTTTTAATCTGAATTCATAGAAATTAAAAAAAAAATAGGAATGGAAGTCTTAAAAAGTCAGGCATCATCAAAGTCAGTGTTTAACAGCAGTTCAGTGACCACTTTCCTGAAATGTTTATTTGAACCCCAGTTCAAACTCTTAATTCAAAGACTTTCTGAGGGTCACAAAAAATTCGTTCTCAGTTTCATGGGAAATTGAATGGTCTTTAGAGCAAACCTGAACCAGTGTGTGATTTTTTTTTTTAACATTGAAAACATGAGAGTTTTTTAACCAGTCAGCCAACAAAATTTGTTTTCAGTAGAGGTTTGCTTTGATATTTTCAGGATCTTGAAGGTGCGAAAAGCCTCATGCCTCTCTGTCCAATATTAAATCAAATTAGATCTGTGAGATAATTAATCAGTCATTTTAACTTTTTATTACAGACTTCCATTGAGAATCTTCAATCAGGTTTAAGAATTGGGAGCTACTTAATTTAGAAAAAAAATCATCAGCCATTATATTTTTCACACGTACACTATATGGAATTATAACGTACAATTACAGAACAGCTATGAAAGCAGTGCGATTATAGAACAATAGTAAATTACCTTCCTGGGTTAAAAAGACCCCTACACATTAAGTAAATCTTTTAAAACAATTAATATACCATGAGAATCTGAGCAGATGAGTAATGTTGATATTGTGTGGTAATGATGTTTGCTTTTTCAAGCAATTTTACTCTGTTTCAGTGTTTGAACAATGGGTACAGCTGAGACAGAAATGGACTACAAAGAGCTGTGTTGATTTCTAAACACGGAGTACATTTTTTAAATGTTGATGCAGAATTTGCAAATACCTGGTACCTGTTTTGGATTCTATTTGTCAAGACTTTTCCTCTCTCCTATTCAAAGCTGCACATCTTTCTTCATGATTTTCAAACAATGAGTGATGAAAGAAATGATGATATGTCATACCATGAAACTGATTTGGCTGTCTTTTGAAATAGGATTTAGTTGACAACATAAACAGCTTCTCTTGCAAATGTGCCTTACTGGAGGATCCACAAGCAGTTGACTCTGGTGTAGTGCTGTAATGCAACTTCAGTCATCACCAGGATTGATATACAAATCTATCATAGAATATGCAAATAACAGTGAAAGGTGCAAGCCAATTGGTATTTCCTAGGTATTACAAACAAGAGTTGGTTTACCCAGACCGAAAAAAAAAATCATGACCTTATTATGGCATTGGTATAGGGAATATTTTGTTGAAAGTTATACAGTTGAAATTGTGCAACTGCCAAACCTAGGTTGCCAGTTCCATGTTCCTACCCAGGTTTGATATTGGAACTCTTGTCAGCCTTGCTCAGTGCTTCAGTGTTGTAAAGGATATGTTATCTCTCTGACAGGTATCCCAGAAATACTCATTTTCAGTGAAAACTAACAAGAAGGATAATTTGTAATTTATAATTAAAAAGTAGGTTATCCTCCTGCAGCAGAAGCACACTAATTTTATTTCTACTGTGGTTACTTTAGAAGTTTTACTTTCATGCTGATAACAGCTAGTTTCCAACTGTGCTGTGTTAACAAAACAAACCAACCCCTCTCCCCCACTCTTATTAATGGGTATATATGTCATTATTTGAAATAGCAAATGGGAACATATATTTTTTCTCTGTCTCCATCACAGCAGTTTTTATATACACTTAACCACCATGCATAAATCAAAGAGGAATCTTTTCACCATTTGCTAAGGACAACTTTTCTGACTATAGTTAAATCTAAGAGTAGTCACTTGAGTATGTCCAAGAGAGAGCGTTCAGGAATGAACCCATAGATGCAAATTCTGTCTGAGAATTTACCCAGACAGACAATTTAATGTGGCAGCCAGCATTTCAAACTACTAGTACTTGTTGTTGTTATTAAAGTTTTATAACCGAAGGCACACTATAATTCCTTCTCTATCAATAACAGTATTGATTCAATATAGGAGCCTATTTTCTCTCCATTAACGCTAAAAAATTACTGTCACACTCACCTAAATAGTCCTCAGATTGGCAAACAAATATAAAACAAAAGTGCTATGAAGACTAAATAACCCCACTAGACTTCTCCATTAGTTCAAGTCTGAAATAACTAGAAAGAGAATTGCTAACCTTTCTCCCACTTCTTTTACCAGGTCCCGGACTGGCATTTTTAGCTTATCCAGAAGCAGTGACACAGTTACCGATCTCTCCTTTGTGGGCAATTCTGTTCTTCTCCATGTTGCTTATGCTTGGAATAGACAGCCAGGTAATTTTGTTTTTAAACAGCAATTAATCCTAATAAAGGCAGATTATTTTTCTGTGTGACATGAGACACCGTAAATTTTCCCATATACTGTATTTACCCAAATATAAGATGACCCCAAATTTAAGATGGCCCACCAATAATTAGATTCTATTAATGGGAAATGTATACATTTGTTATAATTTTCCACTTATAGAATATTACTTTTGGGGCGTCATCTTAAATTAATACCCACTACCACTGCAGGTGGTGGAGGGACAGATGAAGAGGAAGGCAGTAATGGGTCAGGCAGTGAGGCCACAGACACTGGAGGGAGCAGTAAGGAGACAGGTGGTAGGGGAGGCATGCAGCTTGCCCCATGCAACCTGCCCCGGGCAAACTCCTGGTCAAGCTCAGGACTTTGGGTGTCAAATTCAAATCCCTATTGTAATATTTGTAGTTAGTATTCATTTTAGAGAGGAGGGTCTTCTCTTCCATTTTAAGAGAGAAATAAGTTTGGAATGACACAATGAGGCAAATCCTTTCAGTACCACAGAAGTCAATAGATTATTCTGCGAGTTGATGGACCTTAGTCCTCTTTAAGGTCGAGCCAAATTACCTCACATATAATTTAGTTTTGATCCCTGGCTTCCCAATACTGAACTGACAGATTATACAGCTGTTAATCAGCATCAGCTTTGGCCTTTGAGGGTGACATCCAGAAGCGAACAACGTACTCCATGTTGGTGTTTTTATGAGGTTCCTCAGATGTATTTATATTCAAGAAAATATGCTCTAGTAACTTTCGACAATTCCTCATATTTCATGAAAGACCGAACACAGCTTTTAATAAATTTAATTGTAATACAGAGATTTCATTTTGCGGACTGCCGAGGAAGCAGATTTCTCTTTGGTAGGCTAGAGGACATAGGAGATTATTTATCACTGCACACCTGGGCCTGTAGTTAGTTGCAGTGTCATAAATTTGGAAGACAGCACCATTACTGATCTTCAGTTAATTTACAAGAAAATCTTTATCCTGGATGGATTACTGAAGTAACGATGGAGCCAAACCACCCCCCCCCCCCCCCCCCCCCCACTCACTTACCCCTTCTGTACCTACCTTCTACAGCCTCCGGTTTGTCACCCTCTTCTGCCCTCAGTGTTGCTTCTGCCCCCCTCAGCCTCAGCCTCAGGCCTCAAGCCCCCCTTTCTCTAACCCCCTCTTTCCCCTCTGTGCTGCTTCTGCCCCCTGCATCCTTGGGTCCCTGCTCCTCCTTCCCTCTGTTCTTCTCCCTACCCTTGCCTGCCTATCCTCCTCCCTCTTACACTTGCTCCAGCACCAGCAGACTCCTGCCCTGCTGTAGCCTGAGGCATGAAGCACAGCTGTTACAGAGCCAGGCCATACTCCATGCTCCAAGCTTCAGTGGAGGCAGAGCCTGCCAGCGCCAGAGCAAAGGTAAGGGGGGGTGCAGCAGGGGAGGGAGAAGCAGCATGGTGGGGAGGGGGAGGAGCAGCAGGGGTCCATGCTACAGGGGAGGAGCAGCAGGGGGGTACAGAGGTGGCTGCCCCCCACCACCTTATACTCAATTGTAAGATGAGGGGCTTCTCTCCCCCCTATGTTAAATGGGAGGGAAAAGTCATCTTTTAATTGAGTGAATATAGGATATCCCACAGTAAGATTTCCATGGTTACAGGAGCACATCTTGTGCAATGGGGTAGCTAGCAGGGGTAAGGGACCAGCAGGAACAGGATAACCAGTTGGAACTAAGCTACTTTCCTTTCCACAAAAAACCCCAGAGTTAGTAACTGCAGGTACAGAATGCAGGATGCTGAGATGGTGAGGTGGATGGAACATCCCACAAGACTGTGGGGAGCTCCCCAGCATGCTCAGCAGTAGACCCGGAAGTGGCCCAGAAGCACTTCTGGGCCACTTCTGGGTTTGCCGGGGACTGTGCACCCCCTGCCCCTGCACTTCCTCAGCTCGGCAACTGGTGCCTCCTGGGACTGGGGGGGGCACACGGGGTCCCTCAGTGGGTGATTGCCAAGCCAGGGAGGTGCTGGGGGGGAGTGGGGAGCGCATGCTCCCCGACAGGACTTGAAGTGGACTGGAAGTACTTCCAGTCTACTTCCAGGTTCACCGCCAAGCACATGGGGGGGGGAGGGTCCCCTGTGCTCCTGTAGGATGCTCCATCCACCCCACCATCACAGCGATCATGAGTCACACTGGTACATCGTATGTATTAAAAACCTTTTAAAGCCATGTCTATGGCCGGATTGCTGATTCTCTGAATCAGGATCGAATCTTTGGATTTGGCCGAATTGAATCGGGAACAGTGATCTGAATCAATGAGTCAAATCACTGTCCACGATACGGCCGAATCCAAATTGAATAGGGCTTGTTTCACATACCCCTACTAATTATATATAGCTAGCATTTGACTAGTCATTACTAATAAGAACAAAACACTTCATTTTCTTGATAACCAAAATTACTTGATACCTCTCTAGGAAGCTACCTTTCAACAAAATCCACCAAAACATAAGTAACTGTTAAATCTTATTATCGGTATTTTTTCATTAAAATTGAAGTTCACTGAAAAACAGTGAAATACCTCACACAGTCTGGGAAGAAATACTCTGAAATTAATTAGACCAAAATATTCATGATAGAGCTTGTCCCTAGGCTATAGTAACAGCTGAAGAAGGTAGCCTAATATTATTATAAATCAGAGAAAATTAGGGTTGGAAGGTACCTCAGGAGGTGATCTGGTCTAAACCCATGCTCAAAGCAGGACCATCCTGAACTAGATCATCCCAGCCAAGGCTGTCTACCCGGGTCTTAAAACCCTCTAAGTATGGAGATTCCACAGCCTCTCTCAGTAGCTTGTGCCAGTACTTTGCGACTCTCCTGGTGAGATTTTTTTTCCTTTAACATCTAGCTTAAACTTCCATTGCTGCAAGTTAAGACCATTGCTCTTTGGTATGCCATCTGCCACCACTGAGAAATCTAACACCATCCTCTTCGGAACAACCCTTCAGCCTTGAAGCCTTGAAGGCTGCTATTAAATCCCTCCTCAGTCTTTTCTTTTCCACACTAAAGAAGCCCAGTTCCCCCAGCTATTCCTCCTAAGTCATGTGCCCCAACCCCCTAACCATTTTCATTGCTCTCTGCTGCACTCTCTCCAATTTGTCCACATCCTTCTGTAGTGGCGGGGGAGGGGGAAGAGGCAGGGGGAAAAACTAGACACAGTCCTCCAGATGTGGCCTCACCAGTGCTGAATAGAGGGGAAATAATCACTTCCCTCAATCTGCTGGCAACATTCCTAGTAAAGTGGCTCCTGGAGTCCACCAGGTTGCAGCCTCTGCACCTCTTCCTCCAGAACCACTTATTGAGATTCTGACTGCACTTTTCTCCTCACCTGTTTACTTTTTCATTCCCCATCGATGGTTCTACCTGTCGGGACCCAGGGCAGCTGGCCAGCAGCTCTCCCTGACTCCCACCCGGGCGGATAAGGGTCCGTCAGGCGGGTACTTGTGACGCTTGGAGTGGAATTAATTAGGCGGATGCTTATCGGTTGCAAAGCAAGATTATTCACTCACGCCGTCAAGGTGGTGAAAGACGGAGGTCAGATATACTTGGTTAGTTATAGCTTAAGGTTCGTAGGTCGTAGGTCGGTCTGCATAAGAGTTTGGTGGTCGGGCAGAAGGTCGGGCCGGCAGGTCGTTGATTTACGTCTGAGATAAGGTCAAAGACGGGGGGGCAAACTGGCAAGTGATCAAATTGTCAGTTACTCTGACGCATACGTTCAGAGGTCTCCAGGTTGTGTGTGCGGAGGTCTCCTCTTCTTCACGGAAGTGAAGACGGGTTTTATTCGTGTAATAGCCAATTGCTTTTCGCCACATCATAAATTTAATTAGAATCGCCAGTTATCTAGCGGTCTTCGCTAGGGTGTTATCATAGGGTTACTCCTTGTTTTCTTTGACCAATTATAATGATTTATGTACAGCACAGAAGGCTAAGTTCTATCTCTGTTAGTGGCGCAGCAATAAATTTCTTTTTGACATGCGCAGCAAAAAGACGGTTACTGGCAAAAACTTTTGTTAACCCTTAGTTAACTTAGTGTAAAACAAAACTGCTTTGAATGGTTTTACTTGCTTGTGACATGGGCACTACTTAATTTGGTTGTGACACTACCAAAGCCTGGGACCTCCTGGTTAACCTTCTCCTAGCCCTGGCCAACCTGGCTATTCATGTCACCAGGAAGGAGGCTCTGGCCAGGAGGGCCCCCAGGCACTGTGCGGCCATTTTCCTGGATTTTCTCCGGTCCTGTCTCTGGGCAGAGCATCACTGGGCAGTAGCTGCCAGCTCTATAGCTACATTTGAGAGTTGGTGGGTGGTAACTTGCGTGCTCTGTTTGGTGTCCCCTGAGGGTGCATTTGTTTTGACCCTCTGACCCACTTGCACTTCTTTTTTTTGTCATTTTTTGTTGCCCGTATTCAGGTGTTCTCTACCTCTATTAGCCCCCAGTTAAAAGGGGCTACTAAGTGATATGGTGGGCTAGGCCCACAGCCCTGGTAGTTAACAAACAGGCCCACTAAAGTGGGCCAGTATGCTGTTAGCCTTCTTGGCATAAAGGACACACTGTTGCTTCATAAAATAAGTTATGTCTACAGGCTGTCAGGCTTTCTTCATTTTCTTTTCAACTGTTCCACCAGTTTTAGTGAAATGTTTCATTTATAAAGGAGCTGCCAGTATTGACTAAGTCATGATTGCACTCCTAGAAATGAATGTTCTTTAATATTAATCAGGCATTCAGGAATTCAATTATCATGGACATGACTCTGTGTGTGTAATATTTCTGAAATTTCCACATCGAAGGCCAGATCATCAACTAGTATAATCTGGCACTTTTGCATTGATTTAATGGAGCTATGCTTATTTATACAAGACAAAGATCTAATCCTGAATCCTTAACCTTATAATTTAAGCACCAATCTGGCAAGATTTTAAGCATATATCTAATTTAATGAATGTGCGTAATCTCAAAAAAATGCATAAATAATTATTTTCAGGATCTAGGTTTTGGATGTACACACCTCTTCTTCCATTACAAAAAAGATAACTTTAATTTAAAGAAGTGAATGATAATTTATCATTTAAAATTATGAGAGCTGTTGCAGCTGAATAATTTTGCACATGGATCTTTTTAGACAGAAACGGATTTTTCAAATGTGCTCAGCAGTGTGTTCAGCAAAGTCAGTGTGGCTCTAGGAAAATGCTGAGTGCTTTGAAGACTCACCCTAAATCTAATCATGAAGTTTTATTGCATTGTGTTTAACCTGGAGCTCTACTTATAGTTCTGCACTGTGGAAGGATTCATAACAGCCTTGGTGGATGAATTTCCAAAGTTATTACGCAATCGAAGAGAAATATTCATTGCCGTTGTCTGTATTGTTTCCTATCTGATAGGACTGTCCAATATTACTCAGGTAAGGAGTGTAAAGGGTTTTTATCTTGCATGCTTTCCTTATATTTTCAATCAGGTATTTTCAAGTGGCTGAAGAGAAAAATCTCTCTCCGAAGATGATTAATTCAAGGGTAATAAAATTTTAAATAAGTACATTAATGAATGAAGATGATAAACATTTATTTCCCCTAGGACCTATAATGTTTGTAAATAAGATTCAATAAGGAAGCAAATAGTACTCATGTAAAATGACATCTACATGGAAGGGGTGTTGTGAGCATTAATGAATGGCCAGGTCAGGGCTGTCCTGTGGCCTGCAAGGGGTTAGTCTTTGACCCTTGTATTCCCACCCAGCCATTGCTTCCCCCATCATTACGGCTGTAGCAGCAGCAGCAGCCAGAGGCTCTGGCTTCCCCTTCCCTCTGGCTTCTGCCTCCTGTCCTGCACCAGGGGGAAGGGCAGAGCAACCTAGCATAGGTTGTGGTACCAGGGAACCCCATGGTACAAGGCACCAGTGCAGCACAGTGCAGTGGAGGAGCCTACACCCAGGGAGTTGAAGGTAGAACTGGGGCACCTGTGCCTGTGTACCCAAGCACCCATGTATGTGGTCGTTACGGGGGGGAGGGCAGAAGTACCCATGCACCAGATGCAGTGGGGGTGGATGGGCTGTCTGTGTGCCTGGTGCAGCAAGGGACCTGGGGGGCAAAGGTCTCATGCAGGTGTGGCCCCTACAGCATGTATCCTCCCCCTTCCCCCATTAACCTATCAGGTTGTGCAGCTCCCAGCCGCTAAAAAGTTGGCCAGCCCTGGACCAGATCACCCAAGGATGCAAATCTGCATGACTTGTCATTTAAACTAAAGAAGTAAGCAGGTAACTTGTCCAGGGTTCATAGAACTCTTTGAGATCCAGGGTGACTAAGAAACAAAAAAGTATTATTTCTTCTCTGGGTTGCAAGTGAATACGGGGAAAATATTGAACTGAGAGTCAACCAGAAGTAGATCCAGAGCCACAGATCAATGTTACTCTAATTTTTTGGGAACCGTTGACTTTTGAAGAGGTAAATGATACGAATGTGAGCATTTTATATATGTGTTTTATACATATACACTTTAATGATGTGTATGTATGTGTATCAAGGGTGTGTGTGTGTGTGTGTAGATGCACACGCACGTACATGTATATATATATATATATATATATATGAAATTGTATACTGAGCTAGAATACTTTGCCATAATCTTGATACATAACTTACAAAATTATGCATGAGAAATGTACAGCTACTTCTAAAATAAATCCTAAGGGAATGCATTAACTCTTTCTTTATTTTCTTTTTACATATTCTAGGGTGGAATTTATGTGTTTAAGCTTTTTGACTATTACTCTGCCAGTGGAATGAGTCTCTTGTTTCTTGTATTCTTTGAATGCATCTCCATATCCTGGTGCTATGGTATGTGATATGTTTTCCTTACACTGCATGGAGTAGTACAACTATAAAACCTGTGAACATTTTTAGCAATTCCACCTGCCTACTATGCCTGAAAACCCATGTCTGGAAAGCTGCCTGTGTGTATGTTAGTGCAGGGTATACTCTTTGACATTTCTCTCCGTATAGTTCCAGTGCACTGAAGGAGATGTTCTATGAGTGGCTCAATATTTCTTTGTAAAGACACTTTAAAGTTTGAAAGATTTCCTCCAATCCAACTCTTGGCATTTCTTCATTTTCTTTTGAAGTTTGAGTCCAACATGTTCAAAGGTGTGTCAGCACTGTTCTATTCAATGTTACAAGGCTTAGGACAAATGAATAGTCCCTCTCATGCTCCCACTTGGGAAACACAGCACTTTAAACTTGGAATCTTGGCCCCAGGACAGTAATGCTGGGGCTCGCTAAATAGTTAATGATCACTGAGCTTCATAACCACTTCCTCACTCCTTTTCTTCAGGCCCCATATATTCCCTTTCTTGGCTGCCATGGGCCATTTTTTGAAAGTGCCTAATCTCTCGTGTGGTATTTTGAGCAGTATGTTAGAAAGCCAGAAAACCACAAGTTCAAAACCCTCCTGGGGAAAGGCCAGAGTACTAGAATCAAGGTCCCTACCTTCCTGTTTGAGTGCTCCAGCCATTCAGCTATTGAAGCTGAAATACAGATGACCTGTTTCTAGGCCCTTCTAGAACCTGTTGCTTGCTTTCAGAGTAAATAATGCACCCATGTAATGCTTTAAATTACACTCTACTCTACTTTCAGTTTAGGCTCATGTTGCTGGTCCTCTTTTATTTCTAATCTGGTGCAACAGCAATGATACTCTTATTGTTAATGGGACTTGCATTAAATTTTTTCTTGCCTAGTTAATCAAAAAGTTCAAATCTGAAATAGATTGATAAGAATACCCTGCAGATAACTGGACAGTATTAGTAGTGCACAGAGAATGTCTTTTAATATGTCAAACCTGTTAAGCTTGTAATTTAATTGTGTATCTTTTTTTTATTTCTCTACTTCAGGTGTTAACAGATTTTATGACAATATCCAAGAGATGGTGGGATACAGACCTTGCATCTGGTGGAAACTCTGCTGGTCATTCTTTACTCCTATAATTGTGGCAGTAAGGAATAAAAATTATTATGTTTACACTCATCTGAAGGGTATAAACAACCCAAAGTATGCACTACAATATTATCATGCCATCTAGCATATTAATGCAAATGCTAACCTTTCTCCTAAATTGTACGAATAAAAAAAAAAATAACTGTGCTGAAGGTAGTGGTGTAAGATCAGTGTCAGTAAGAGAAGAATCAGGGCCCTACATTGTTAATATTTTGGAATCAGTGAAAGGAAGGACAGATTTTTTAATTCTGGAATTTATTCTAGAATCTTTCAGAATTTGGTAAGTAAATTCATGCACTGCATCTTGACCATTTAATTCATATTTATACATCCCATATCCATTCTGCTTTAAGATATAGAATGTCCAAAAAGTGCCTCTTCCCATAAACTAAATTTCTTCACAGGAGTTACAAACAGAGCTCCCAGAACTATTGCTATTTGTTCTTCTGCCCTTTGAGAGATGTTGCCAGGCTTGTCACCAGATTATACTGTGGCAAAGTGGGGCTCCCTGCCTAGCCAGAGTGCTAGGTTCCCCACTTGCCTTTGGGCACGCCCCCCACCTGACTCTCCTGCCATGCCTTGTTCTTAATTAATTAAGATGTTAATTAAGGTGGGAGGCTGCCCATTCATGCCCCAATGCCAGGGGGTGCTATCTGCGGCTCCGTACCTCCCCTCTACCACAGCCCATGCCTCGCAGATGGCATTCAGCTGTTGATCTCACCAGCCCCATACTGGGCCTCAGAATCCTCCAATCAGGATCCCTCTAAGATCCCTCCATTCAGGCAGCCTACTCCACCCTCATTCGGGCTGTCTGGCTCCCTGAAACCGTTTCCCCTCTCAGGCATGGTTCCCCCAGGACCTTTGGCCACACAGGCCCTGACCTCACCTCCAAGGCCAGTTGAGACCCCAGACCCTCAGCTCTGGGTGTCCCTCATAGTGGGCCCCTGGCCCTTTTGAACATTCTGGTCCTGGCCCTAGCATCGACCACTCGAGGATATCCTACATCAGGACTCTTTCACTAGCCCTTTCACTCTCTTGGATCTGCCTTCTGGTCCCTACTAGGGGTTACCCGCCTGGTTGTGGGAGCTGGGGTAACTCACACCATGACTGGTGTTCCAGGGTCTCACAGGGACTCTCACTCCCCACCTGGAGCAGCATGTCATTGTGCTCTCTCTCTATATATATATAAACATACTGGGCTCTCAGTCCTCTGGTTTTCCCTCCCTTCACTGGGGTTCCTCATCTCTGCCCCCTCACTGGGGCTCCACACAGCCCCCTGGCTCCTCATTTGGGGCTCCGCACCACTCCCCTCACTTGGGGCCATGGGGCTTTGCTCCCCGGTGGGCTCAGGGGGCCGTAGCCATGCCTGGCCCCCACTCTCCCTCCTCAGGGTCTCTTGAGGTCTTGCACCCCAAAGGGATCAGGTTGCTGCAGCCATGTCTGGTCCTCCCAACTCTCACTCCTTGGGGTCTTGCATACCACAGGGCTCAGGTGGCCACAGCCGTGCCTGGCCCCCGCTCTCCCTCCTCAGGGTCTTATACCCCCCCGGGCTCAGGTGAACATAGCTGTGCTTGACCCCCCACTACCTCTGGTATTACTTAAACACACCCGAAGGTGAGGGCTAGGGTTAAGGCCCTTTCACTGGGGTTATCACTCGCCTGGCATTTCCTGGAGGCTCCTGCACCACTGAAAGCCCAACCAGGCCACCCACTCCTGGCAGGGTGCAGTTTTAGATTATGCCCAGGACCAGGAGCCTCCAAGCCATCCCCTACAGCTCCTGCCCTTACCTCCAGGATGATACATGAAGCCTTGCAAGCAGGCAATGCTGCTGCCAGGCGATGTTGCTGCCCACCAGCAGGGAACTGATCTGTTTATATAGGTAGCCAGGGATCTAAAATGGCTGCCACAATCAAGCACCTGCTGACTGCTTGACCCAGATTTTAAAGTGGAAGGTACCAACAGTGCCCTGCCGCATATCTCCCGCCTTAAAATGGTACCTGGGGGAGGTTTCCCTGCTGCTCCCCCAAAACAGGCCTCCCTCAGAGCCTGAGAGAGCCCCCAAAGGTACTCCGCCACATGTACCATCAACTCATTGGGCCTGAAAGCAGTGAAAAGACTTGGTCCAAAGTCTGATGCATACTCAAAAATATTACTGTGGTCATTTTCCATTTAAGAGAAATTGTGAGCAGAAAGGAAGTCTGAACTAAAAGGAAACAGTAAAAAATGAAGTAGTGGGCATGGTAGAAAAATACATCAATTTTGAAAGAAAGAGAAGGAAAAATACAATAGAAAGTCAGTACTATGTAAAATACTATGGATCAGGTTTTCAGCTGTTATCATGTGGCTTCACTTCATTGACAGAAATGGAATTTCACTGATCAGACGCAACGTTGTGCCCAAAATATAAAATGTGATTAAAGTACATCCACTTGTGCCAACCTGGCTTTTGGTGAATGCCTAACAATTTTTTGTTTAACTGAACCAGAGGGAATCAAGGACTAAATTATGATGAAAGTTGTTAGTGAACATTTCCAGGTCTTCCTAAATCAGAAAAAGTTCTGCCATTTTTTATTTATCTATTTGTCTACCTACCTGGTTATTTATTTCTTTTCCCTTCATCTCTTTTCTTTTCCACTTCAACTCCACATATCTGTGGACATTCAGCATAAAGATATTGCTGAGATAGTGCTAAGATCCAGGTTAAAACCAACTTAGAATAAGGCAGAAAAACATCTCAGTGGTGTCTACATACATGTTGATGCACTGTGATCCTGCCTTTTTATTTAAAAGATAATTTTCAGGGAAAGTATCTTCTTCCCAAAATTTTTCCATTGGAAAACCGAAAAACTTGAAGAGATCAGCTTGTTTTGTTTTGTTTTTTTAAATCTAAAGTCTAAATTATCTACTAAAAATATTGATTAAAGTAAATTGTTGTTGTTTTCATCTCTTTCCCAAAGAGAAAAAAAAATCACACTAGTACTAAGCTGTAGTAATTCCATAGGCCCCAGTTCAGCCAGGTATGTAACTGCCTGAATTTAAACTTGTGAGCAGTCCTACTGACTTTGTTATAACCACTCACAAGCTTAAAATTAGGTACATGCTTACCTGCCTGACAGGGCACTTTAAAAAATGGGTTGAATATGTGGAGATAAGAGAAAGTAAGAACACTACCATTAAGCATGCAGAAAACCCTATATCAAATAAATAAGCCAAATTCTTTTAGATAGTATGGGCCATGTCTACATGAGCAGAAGACTGAAGTTGTTATTGCACAGTCATTTAGTACTTGCATAACCAAGTAGTAAATGACTGATTTACTGTGTATTAGCATCCCCACATGGTTTTTTTTCAGATGCTACTGTGCAGTGGTGTTGCATCACAGTTAGTGTCCATCAACACTACTGTACAGTAGCATACCTCCCCAAAGATTGTCACCTTGTTGTGGTGGAGAGGCTTGCATGTTCCAATGACCCTGAGAGTGATGCCATCGGGAGCTTATGTGTCAGGACAGGGGTGTCCTTTAGCAGTTGCATCCATGACTTTACAGCCCCTTTTAGGATACCCTCTACTCACCATGGTGGGGAGGGGGCTAGAAAAGGTGCCTGAAAAATAGGCTGTCCTGTCTCTCTTGGCTGGGAAACTGCACCCAGCAGGGTGACCAGTCCTACTGTCAAAATAAGGAAAAGCTAAACTTTGGAACCTGGAATGTAAGAATGCTCATCAACAACCCAAAGAGCGATCACCCAGTAAGACAAACTGCCATTGTGGCTTGGGAGTTAGTGAGGCATAACATCAACATCACTGCTTGCAGCAAAACCTAGCTGTCCAGAATGTATTTTCATTATGGATTCCTATTTGAAATCTCTGGGTTTATCTTGTGAATTATGTGTAGGTGTTTGCACATCTAATAGTGCTAATATTGTGCTGTACCCTGTAGCACCCTTAAGGATCACACAGCACCCTATGGTGTCACATCACCCAGTTGAGTCACTGGCTTAAATGAAAGTTAACACATCCCTGCTGCTAACAGGTACCCTTCACCCATTTTATGAAAAATGTCAGCATCTGCTTTCCATAACTGTTTTTCATTTGCAATTCTTAGAAAGACGTTATCTTCAAAATACTGGGAAGCAAGCTATTGATAATGATGGTCATATATATAAGTAGGAACTGTTAAACCCTGACTCCATGTGGCACCCAAAGACTAGGGAGACAGTGGTCCAATCGCTCATGGATCATGTTACTCATTAACCAGAGCAAGCAGGGAGCAAATGCTACTTGTACACATTGCTCGCAACAGCTGTATTTAGCATGGAAACAGCTTCGGGCAAGCTCTCTCACAGACACACAGCCTGTGAACATGGGGAGCAGCCCTGAACATTAGTTTTTTTTCACATTTTATACACCTTGGTTTATACTCATTAAAATTCACTCTGCCCTCATCCCTCCTTCGGTTCCAACCATTTCTTCTCCCATCTCACGCTAGCTCTGTTTACTGTTTGCCTCATTAGCATGGTATTGTCTATGCGTTTCATTCATTTACATGCCTCTCTGCTAAGAGCACATGTGTAAGACTTTGACCTCCGCTTCCTTCGCTCACTTGCTGGTTCTTTCTGGTTTCTTGCTGACTTCAGCACCATCTCCAAGGTTTTGCTTCTGCTTTATCTCCTGACAATAGCTGGCAGGTTGCATCTTGTTCTTCACACTATGCTCCCCCTCTATGTGACATTGGTCAGGCCATAACTGGATTACTGTGTCCAGTTCTAGGCACCGCACTTCAGGAGGGATGTGGACAGCATTGAGAGGGTCCAGAGGAAGGCCACTCACATGATTTAGGGACAGCAGGGCAGACCATATGAGAAGAGGCTATGGGACCTTAACCTGTTCAGCCTTTGCAAGAGAAGGCTGAGGGGGGACCTGGTGGCCGTCTATAAACTTACTAGGGGGGACCAGTGGGGTTTGGGAGAGACCTTGTTCCCCTGAACGCCTCCCGGAGTAACAAGGAATAATGGCCATAAGCTGCTAGAGAGTAGGTTTAGCCTAGACATCAGGAGGCACTACTTCACAGTCAAGGTGGCTAGGATCTGGAACCAACTTCCAAGGGAAGTGGTGATGGCTCCTACCCTGGGGGTCTTTAAGAGGAGGCTTGACGTTTACTTGGCTGGGGTCATTTGAGCCCAGTTTTCTCTCCAGCCCCGGCAGGGGGTCGGACTAGAAGATCTACAAGGTCCCTTCCAACCCTACATCTATGAATCCCATTGTTAGAAAACTGCTTGCTTAAGCATTTGCAAAGTTAGTTACTTTTAATATATCATCCTGCCTTGTGACCAGCAGCTTTTGCTGAGACACATACAAGCCTTTATTCAGCTGCAAATCCAGTGCTCCCCAAGATCCAAATATTGTCACCCTAACACTCCCTCACAGAATTAGTATATGCAGCAAAAAAGACACCTAGCCGATTCTCCAAAGCTCATCACTTTCTCTGCACAATACACCCCTTTGGCCTTGCAAGGTAGATAGTGCTTTGTGTTACTTGGACAAAGGACTGACCTTTTTGCCCATCGTTGGTAATGAGTGAGACAGTGCTTAGGCTATTTACTTTCCTGCCTGGGACCAAGCCAGAAACTGGGACGATGGTACCATAGGAATATTTTCTGCTTTTGCATTGGCATGAATATGCAGCTGAATATTAACTAGATGCTTGGTGCTATTGTAGCACTACTAGTGCCTCTCCATTTTGTAAAAGTTTGGATAAATTATAAGGGTTAGGACTACTTATTAACTTGCCATGGAAACTAGGTATGCTGTTTGCATAGGAAGGCCCTGGTTTTCCTTAGGATTTTATCATTTCACTTTGTATTTCTAATCTTTGCATAAATTTGGGGAATTAATAAAATGACATTACATTACTATTTCTACTATACAAATTAAAATACATTAATTTTAACACAAACAAAACAAAAACAAGGGGGCAAAAGGGAAACAAAGGATGACAATAAAACAAACAATTCAATAGCCTTCTTGATTTTTGGCACGGCTGAACTCTGCGAAGTGATGCTCTGCATGATGTATCATTTTTGTAGCCATTCTTCAGGTATTTTATAGCTTATTAAGAAGTGTCGCTTTACATTTCATAGTTCATCATAGTTGACATCACAATTACTTATAATAACAGCATTTTACAGACGTAGTAAAACACAATCATTACACATGACAGTCAAGCTTGATTTTTTTCTTGTCTTCAGTGGTGGTTCCATCCTGTAAAACACAAGGACAAAAAGGGAGGGGCTCACCCCTTCTCATTAGTTTGTTTATACACTGTGGCTGGCTTTGCTTGGCTTATAGCCAGGTTGGCACTTATTTAAAAATTTCTCCTCCTTGCACCTTGCAGAGGCTGCTTTTACAGCAGTGTTCTTCTCTTAAAGTGGCAGGCATTTCATGCCACACCTCTTTTTCTTGTCTTACACCAAAAGTCTTTTCTGTTGGAGTATGCTCCCCTTAGCTTTTTGTTAATGAAGGATAACTTACAAGGAGGTGAGAGCTAAGGTTTTTAAGGCACTTTATATTTGCCTCTGCTGCTTCCCTAGGGTGGTTATTATGCAGCATTTTGTAGAGCCTACCCTGCTACAGGTAGCTCTATTATACTAACCACACCTAGGAGGGTGGCAGTTTTAGGTCATTCTTAGTATTAAACTCTCTACTCTCCTGCTCTGTTCTTCTTTACTTCTTATGAGCACAGCCTCTCACTTCTGGGCTTCTTGGCCCCCCCTCAGGTCACTTGAGATTGCAAGCTCCCAGCTCTGACAGCTTTAACAGTGATCTTCTTTGTTCCCCTTCTCTGGACTGCTCGATCACTTGGTTTTTTAGGGCTCTGCAGACTCTTTATTAGATTTTTATTTTTCCTTTTTCTCTCTCTCTAGCAACTCTTTTGAATCCTAACACTTTTTCTAGGTTTTACTTAACTTTTAGTTTTCCTTTTCCTTAATAGATTTTAATCATAACTGTTTCTGGGCTACAGGCTTCATAGTTCATTCTCATCAGTGGCACCTTCTTGCCTTGATCTTTGCAAATCAACTTATCCATCAAATGTCTTTCTTTTACAGCTGTACAGCTCAGCAAGCTCCACTTTAGGACTAAGAAAGTATCTTTTAAAGACCGTGGGTGACAAATTACACACTACACACAATCCCTTTAAGAAAACTTTTCCTACCTTAAAAAGGAAACTTTTAAACTCTGCCTTTTCAGAGAAAAACAAAACATGCCTCTTAAAAGCTCCCTCCTCTT